TTATATAAAATAGCTGTTTCATGCTACTGTATTTCATGTAGACAAAGTAGAGAATCGGAGACCCTATTTATTGAAAACGAAGCATTCTATCATAATCCTGGGTGACAAAACATGTGCATTTTGATTCTTAAATGAGGATAGATGTAGACGTCTATGGGCCACAGCAACAACTATTTTGATTCTTAAATGAGGATAGATGTAGACGTCTATGGGTCACAGCAACGACTATTTTGATTCTTAAATGAGGATAGATGTAGACGTGTATGGGTCACAGCAACGACTATTTTGATTCTTAAATGAGGATAGATGTAGACGTCTATGGGTCACAGCAACGACTATTTTGATTCTTAAATGAGGATAGATGTAGACGTCTATGGGTCACATCAACGACTATTTTGATTCTTAAATGAGGATAGATGTAGACGTCTATGGGTCACAGCAACGACTATTTTGATTCTTAAATGAGGATAGATGTAGACGTCTATGGGCCACAGCAACGACTATTTTGATTCTTAAATGAGGATAGATGTAGACGTCTATAGGCCACAGCAACGACTATTTTGATTCTTAAATGAGGATAGATGTAGACGTCTATGGGTCACATCAACGACTATTTTGATTCTTAAATGAGGATAGATGTAGACGTCTATGGGTCACAGCAACGACTATTTTGATTCTTAAATGAGGATAGATGTAGACGTCTATGGGTCACATCAACGACTATTTTGATTCTTAAATGAGGATAGATGTAGACGTCTATGGGTCACATCAACGACTATTTTGATTCTTAAATGAGGATAGATGTAGACGTCTATGGGTCACAGCAACGACTATTTTGATTCTTAAATGAGGATAGATGTAGACGTCTATGGGTCACATCAACGACTATTTTGATACTTAAATGAGGATAGATGTAGACGTCTATGGGTCACAGCAACGACTATTTTGATTCTTAAATGAGGATAGATGTAGACGTCTATGGGTCACATCAACGACTATTTTGATTCTTAAATGAGGATAGATGTAGACGTCTATGGGTCACAGCAACGACTATTTTGATTCTTAAATGAGGATAGATGTAGACGTCTATGGGTCACAGCAACGACTATTTTGATTCTTAAATGAGGATAGATGTAGACGTCTATGGGCCACAGCAACGACTATTTTGATTCTTAAATGAGGATAGATGTAGACGTCTATGGGCCACAGCAACGACTATTTTGATTCTTAAATGAGGATAGATGTAGACGTCTATGGGTCACATCAACGACTATTTTGATTCTTAAATGAGGATAGATGTAGACGTCTATGGGCCACAGCAACGACTATTTTGATTCTTAAATGAGGATAGATGTAGACGTCTATGGGCCACAGCAACGACTATTTTGATTCTTAAATGAGGATAGATGTAGACGTCTATAGGTCACATCAACGACTATTTTGATTCTTAAATGAGGATAGATGTAGACGTCTATGGGCCACAGCAACGACTATTTTGATTCTTAAATGAGGATAGATGTAGACGTCTATGGGCCACAGCAACGACTATTTTGATTCTTAAATGAGGATAGATGTAGACGTCTATGGGCCACAGCAACGACTATTTTGATTCTTAAATGAGGATAGATGTAGACGTCTATGGGCCACAGCAACGACTATTTTGATTCTTAAATGAGGATAGATGTAGACGTCTTTGGGCCACAGCTACGACTATTTTGATTCTTAAATGAGGATAGATGTAGACGTCTATGGGCCACAGCAACGACTATTTTGATTCTTAAATGAGGATAGATGTAGACGTCTTTGGGCCACAGCAACGACTATTTTGATTCTTAAATGAGGATAGATGTAGACGTCTATGGGTCACAGCAACGACTATTTTGATTCTTAAATGAGGATAGATGTAGACGTCTTTGGGCCACAGCAACGACTATTTTGATTCTTTAATGAGGATAGATGTAGACGTCTATGGGCCACAGCAACGACTATTTTGATTCTTAAATGAGGATAGATGTAGACGTCTATGGGCCACAGCAACGACTATTTTGATTCTTAAATGAGGATAGATGTAGACGTCTTTGGGCCACAGCAACGACTATTTTGATTCTTAAATGAGGATAGATGTAGACGTCTATGGGTCACAGCAACGACTATTGTGATTCTTAAATGAGGATAGATGTAGACGTCTTTGGGCCACAGCAACGACTATTTTGATTCTTAAATGAGGATAGATTTAGACGTCTTTGGGCCACAGCAACGACTATTTTGATTCTTAAATGAGGATAGATGTAGACGTCTATGGGCCACAGCAACGACTATTTTGATTCTTAAATGAGGATAGATGTAGACGTCTTTGGGCCACAGCAACGACTATTTTGATTCTTAAATGAGGATAGATGTAGACGTCTATGGGTCACAGCAACGACTATTTTGATTCTTAAATGAGGATAGATGTAGACGTCTATGGGCCACAGCAACGACTATTTTGATTCTTAAATGAGGATAGATGTAGACGTCTTTGGGTCACATCAACGACTATTTTGATTCTTAAATGAGGATAGATGTAGACGTCTATGGGCCACAGCAACGACTATTTTGATTCTTAAATGAGGATAGATGTAGACGTCTATGGGTCACAGCAACGACTATTGTGATTCTTAAATGAGGATAGATGTAGACGTCTTTGGGCCACAGCAACGACTATTTTGATTCTTAAATGAGGATAGAGGTAGACTGTGTTCTCGTTTGTCACTCTTATTCAATAAGAAATGTTTGTCTTTAATTGATGTAATTGAGATAGAAACTTTTTTACTTAATATCTTCTCCTTTCTTCTAAATAATCGATTGATGTCTGGTGGTCTCGCAAAAACTTATAAATGGCTTGACCGATTTGATGAATGTTTTGTATGTATTTGAGAGAGTTCCTGTATGGTTTAAAAACTCAATTAGACCCGGTAGGTAGCGCTGTTGTCGAGATCCGGAAATCACCTGTGCAAAGCCGGGGCGGATCGCTAGTGGGTTATAAATAATTCTTATTAAAAGTCACACTAAGAACCAACAAGAAACCCATATTTAAAAAAAATACTTTTTAACCGATTGCTCTGGAAAGAAGGATAATGTTTAGAAGTTTTTTTATTTCTTTGACTCCTTAACACCTTGATGGATTGTAACATATAAATGTGTGTTGTTAGATTCTCCCGCGGGAGTAATACATGCTATATTTATATATTATATCTGTAAATACAAAAAAAGGGAAGGAATGTTTTTTTCAATAAACATTTTAACGACTTTTTAAAAGATAAAATTTTTATACCATATATAAAAACTTTTTCTTTCCGTATAAAAAAACTCCGTAATCGGATTTTTAACTTCCCAGTGGAAAGTTTTTGTAATGGGTCCGATTTTGCAATTGGAAATTTTAACATATTTCCCCGTTTCAAGGTCTTTAGAGTCGAATAGTATGGTTTTTAAGAGGATGTCCGTGTGTGCATATGTACGTATGTATGTATGTATGTATGTATGTTAGGATTCAATTTTCGCCTCGTGTATCTCGAGTGATATTGACATGGGACCAGTTTCATTTAACGCATAATTATGTAACTTAGCCCTCATTAAATTTTGAGCAAAATCGGTCAAGTCGTTTTTTGTGCCGAATGAAAAATTGTATAAAATATTAAAACATATGATATTTTTTTATTCTTTCCACTGGGAAGTTAGTCGTGTGGACCGGTATTTCAGGTCGCACCTAGACCGCTTTTTTTAAATACTGTTTTGATCTTTAAGCTTGTTCTTTAGCTATTTTAGCATTATTTCTGTTTCAGATCCCATCAAACCTCTCATCAATATGGTTGATAAAGCGCTTTGGAAGGAAAGTCACCACGACCGTGTTCTTCACTTTGGGGGGAATCTGCGTCCTGATATTAGGAGTTGTTCCAAACAAGTTCTGGATCACGCTGACCTTGGGGACTTTAGGGGTCAGTTGCTCAGCTATAGTGGCTGCCACAATCTACATTTTCACATCGGAACTCTTCCCAACTGTGGTCAGGAATATGGCGATGGGTTCAAGTTCCATGTCGATGAGAATAGGTTCTATGATTGCACCGTTTATATCAAATTTGTCAGTGAAAACGTCAGTGTTACCAACATTAATATTTGGATTTGCACCAATTCTTGCTGGACTAGTCTGCTTGTTGTTACCTGAGACGAAAGGCACCACGCTACCTGATAATATAGAAGATGAATGAAAGAACTTAGACTGTAGTTTAAAATTTTATTCATTAAACCTTAGTGTAAATAAACTTCTTTATAGTTTAAGAATTAAAAAATAATTTACAAAGGCATTATTTGTACAAACCACCTAACCGTTTACCTCATCTATTTATTATTACAGCGGACTTAATGCCATAAGACATTCTCTCCAAGTCAACCATTGGTCTAAACAGAGATACATTTGTGGAAGCTAGTGCAGCATACCAAAAAAAAGTTAACGAAGTGTAGATCGTCATAGCAAAGATATATAATAATTTAAATGTATACACTATATATAATTTAAATGTATATACATGTACATATAAATCTCTTTACAGGGTTATTTTGCTATAACCAGCCTAATTTGCAGAAAAGGTTCAGAAAAAGTAATATAGGCAAATGGTGAAGAAAAATTAATTAAAAAAGTCTCAAGCATTCTTCCCTTATTAGTATTGATCGATCGGTAGGCAAAAATACATACCTATACCTAATATTATATATTTATGCATACACACACACACTCATATATATATATATATTTATGCCATGATAAATATGGAAAATATGTAATGATGGAACGATTATTTAGGAAAAAGGGTTAATTTCATTTTTTAAATTTGCAATTTTTAAAAGACACTTTTTGGGAGCGTTTTTAATGTCAAGAGGTATTTCGTTTCCTAATACTTTACCTAAATTATTTAAGATGTGTCTTTTCTAAGATATAGTGACTTCATTTTAGAGATTTCCAACGATCATTCAGCGCCTCTTTCTGCTAAAGCGAAAGGCGATTTTGCTGCCGTCCTCAAATAAAAATTTCCACGTAAGCTGAAAAATTAAAATTTATAGGTTCATTTTTGTTATTTGGATAATCTACATTTATCCTCGATTAAAAATCAAAATGCAGATGCGTTGTCACCCGTGAGGATTAAGTTGGAATGCCTCGTTTCCGGTAAAAAGGGTCTCCGGTTCTCTACACTCACTATTCGAAACATTAAGTAGCATTAACAGCAGCATCAAGCTACCATTTCACGCTGATATTCTGTGAGAGCGTGGTCCTTCCACGGTCGAGCCGACCCATTCGAGCTACAACTATACTACTATATAACTGCAGCGTGGCTCTACCACGCATAAAAATATTATATCTAAAGAGACGAGTTCTATCTACAGCAATTATATAAGTACAACGATATTGAATGAATCCTTACAGATTCGATTATCCTACGATAATTTATTTTAGACTGTGAGGATTTTACAGGATTCACAAGATATTTCGTAATCACCGGATATTTCATCTTAACTGGGTTATCTATCTGTAAGCGTTGATGAATATGATATACGAAGGTGACACATACATTTTTTCTGCATGGTCAAAGACAAAGTCATAATATTTTTATTCTAAATTGACTTTTAGAAAGCACTTTTTAAGAGTCAAAAGCAGTGCCATTAATTGATAGAAACTAATAGCTCCTGGTAATGTTTGTAGCCGCCACCTTAGTATTGATATATTGACCAACCATCGTCAGCAATGGAACCTTGAACTAGCAGGGTGTATCAGTGCAGGTAAGATTTGTATTTGGAGAAAAATCACTATTGAATAAAACTAATTTTACAGATTTTATCGCGCTTAATGAAACGCGATAAAATCCGTTAAAGTAGAAGTAGCGTTAAATTAAATGCAATAAAATCCGTAAAAGTAGTTTTAAATCAATGTGTAGTATTCGCGTAATATAAGAAATCATTATGTAAATCACTATTGTATTGTACATATATATAAATTTAAATCAAAGTAAATCTGAGGGTAGTTCGATATTTTACATAACATAAATTGACTGATAATGTTATAGAAGAGATCATGTAGTGACAGTGTGAGAATATCACTACCCCATATCCTTCCGTGGATCGTGGGTGTCCCAAGAGGTAACATAGGGAAACTGAAACAGGTCATGGGTAACAGCTTCCTAATAACAAAAGAAAATAATGAAAAATCTGCCGTTGCCGTGCGCCAACCCGCGAGACGAGCGTGGCAGCTATGGCGTATCTTCCCTCGTATGAGGCAATGCAATCAATATATACATTCAATTTATTTAATCTTATCTATTGGGGAGGCCAATGTGCCAGGGTAGACCTTGTTGGGATGTAATGTTAACAGTTATGGAAGCCCTTTTAATACAGGCGTCACAACTTTAAAGGAAGGTCAACCCTTGTATTAAAAAATTATAAAAAATACTTTTGTAAAGAAAAAAACTGTCAGTGGTAGGATTGCACGTCAGAAGTGAAAACTTCTTAACTTCTTTATTCTTATTCTTCACAAACTTGATATATGTATCTGATTTTTCCCTGTTCCAAAAGTGTTCAACTTGCTTTAATAGCTTTCACTTGAAAAATTATGTTATTTATTTATTTATATTCGACATATTCCTACAACTCGAACACAAGTCACAGCCTCCACCGGGATAACAAACTCTCCTCGCAAGCTTTTGGACAAGGAAAAGCTAATAGGCGGGGAAATACCAGCATCCTCGGCCCCAGTGGCAGAGCTGGTATAGATATCAATCACTAACCAGGTTTCGGCTGCGGAGGATATTATTATGACAGCCAGTTGCGTGATACATCAAGTTTCACGAGAATATTCCGTAAAATAAGGATCAATGGTCTCTTTGAACTTAAAAATTCATAGGAATGTTGTCGCGCGCCATAATTGATACCTGGTACATGGCGACATTAATTACCACTAGCACAATCTAGTATCGAGTAGCAGAACCAGGAGAGTCATAATCCTTCTAGAAATTTCCTTACTCTCACAAAACCCTTGCTCCTAATAATATTAAATTAAAATCCCCGATACATAAAGAGCAGATGTTCATCAAACGACTGAACAGATTTGCATGAAACATAGGTAAGAACAATCTCGATTAAGAAAACTTTCAAACGAAACTTTAAAAAAAAACGGTTAAAATCGGTTAATTCCTTCGGGAGCTATGATGCTACAGACAGACACACGGATACACACTACAAACTTATCATAACCCTCTAAAACGGTCGAATTGTTGATGCAAGCAAGATGCAACCTTATACAAGATGCAATCTTATGTCTTTCTCCTTTTATAAAGCCTTTTCTAGTTTGGACATATTGTTAATCACGAAAGTTCTCGTACCTTCCCAATGAAAGAATTACTTCGGAAACACGAAAGTGAACTCTACTTCGGGAAGCGACTACACTCAAGCGACCTAGGACATCTGCTATTATAAAGTAGGTTCTTCACCGAAGAAGCTTAGCGACTTTTAAAGATGTAATTGTACACTTGCTGTGTGTGTGAAATAATACATTCATTTCTCATACTAATCGGCGTTTTCACTCACCCCGCACGTAACAAGATAGAGAGCGGCGAATCGTAATGTGCCTAAAGAGAAAGAGGTGGACAAGCTGTTCTCTACCGAGGTGAGGACGCCTAGGGGCGGCTTTCACTGATAGAACCGCGGATATGTACGAGAGTGTCCCTGCCAATATGCTGCGAAGGTAGAACACCATGAGGCATGGGGTTTAGTCGGTGCGGGTATTACATAACTCGTCCTTGCCTCCGCGATGCGTATGTTCCCTGAGAAGAAATAAATCCCGCTGAAGCCCTCTTTCAAGGTTTATTAAAGTACAGAATATTTACTCTGGAGTGGCATAAAGCCCCATGTGCACTGTTGGTTCTTCTTGACATCGGCCTCGAAGAAACGCGTCATAATCGTCACACTTCCTCGCCAGGAACTGTCCACCTTCTACAGACTCCGCCCAAAATTTCCAGGACCGCCAGTGGCTGCAGAAATCTAAATAAAATGTTTTTTATTGGTTGATTCTTGTTTGTTATACTTAATAATACCAGCGATAATGATTTCTTTTTTTTTTTCTGTTTACATAAATACTGCATGTTGAACAAAAGTAAATTCAGCCTTAATTAAAAGCTGAACGTACTCCGGCTTTACTTTGACATTAGAACGTCAAACATAGTAGACGCTCCACCCTCGACCCGAGATGCTGCTAAATATTCCGTGGGTGTTGCAAAGTAATCTAAACGTGATTTAAAAAAGTTAAAATTAAACGCCATAAATTAGTATAGTTTTGTTCAATACCAACGATGTTGTCATAATTACCCATGATCAGGACCTTCTAAGGTCTTTCTGAAATCTGAGCTTAGAATTAACCTGAAAACGACTTCCAACGAAGAAGACCATGCTCCGTGAGCCCTGGGCTCAGATCTCACAAAGATTTTTTATGAAACTGAAGTAACAAACGTGCCTTGTAGTGACAGTGTGCGAATAACCACTACCACATCTCGTGGGTGTTTTAAGTGGCGACAGTGGGATATAAATCAGGAGATGAACAGCAGCATCTTCCTAAAAACGACTTAAATAAAATAAAACTGCGGTTGCCAACCCACTTGCCAAGCATGGCAACTATTGCAAATATCCCCCTATGAGATAATCTATGGGGGAAGCCTATGTTCTGCTGTGGATTTTAATAGGCTGTAATGATAACGGAAGTGACAAACGGACTAACAGTACACCTGATGGTATTGAGAGCAAATAATCTTACGCTCACTAGATGTCGCTGTTTGACATTGAGGTGAAGTTTTTTGTTACACAATGTCATTTAATTGATGATTTAGTTTTTAATAAAAGTTTATCAGTTTCCAGATACATAAGGGTAATATGGTCACCTTAAGTTTTGCCGCTCAATAAAACAAAAACTAGGAGAAGGATAGATACAAAAAAATAAAGTCGTGTACTATAATTAATATATTAATAAAAAAATAGCAAACAAGGTTTGGCAATAGTTAGGAATACTTCGAAAAATTTAAATAAAAACTACGTTACGCCAAACTAAAATCGACTAAAATATTTACTGTATTATCAACTGTTAAAATGGCGTCGATAAGGCAGCGTCCTTTTGATCCTTTATTACTTGATTGACTGATAAATAGCTATCTACTATCTAGTATCACATAGCCTTCTATGTAAATATGACTTGCAATTTTAAGTTATAATAAAGTAAGTGACCATATTAATCAGATGACCATATTACCCTCACGTACCTTAGTTAAATAATTCACAGACACGTATTCATATACCTGTGGTTTGGTTTATTTAGTTTTAATTTAATTAATATAAAATATAACTAATGGTAGAGTAAGAAACATTAACCTTTACAAATTAACATCCCCACTATGAAATCTGTCAAATATAACACCTCATTATAGGTGGCACCGCCCTGGTGGCAGATAGAGTCGTGACTTCCCTCATTGGCTACTGCAGGCCAAGAGCACCAACAAGTTCAAACAAAGAAGACTGTAGATGCATGGTCACCTCTAGAACTAAGATGGAATGCCTTAATCATATAATAATACCCCTCAGACCGGAACGCAGGTGCTGCTAATTGGCGACAGAAATATAATAGGACTGAGCCTGATAACTATCCAGACGGACTTCAAAGCAGGAGTCCTGTCGCCTAATATTAGCATCAGTACGACCGTCTGTTCGAATATGAAGAGTAAGGAAGACAGTAGAATTACATGTTGTATTATTTATGTTAGCCCTCAAGGGTGCCAACGCATCAGTAGCTTCTTAAGTTCGTAGTTTTTTTTATAGAATAAAGTAACAAACGAGGACACAGTTTTTCTGATGGTAACTGATTGCTGTGGACTATAGACACTTTCAACCATCATCGATTAAGAGTCATAATGAAATTTAGATATGTTGTGTGCGAGTGAGGGTAGAAAACAAATAAGTGTTGAGTAAAATTCTAGTATAACGTATCTTATAGAAAATATTATTATATAATTTCGGTACTCCACGCTAGATGTCACTTACCTAAAATATGCGAATTATCGAGTAATTCTACTTGAAACGATATAGCATTGAGGTTGTCAGAATATATGTACCAATGAATACTTTATTTACTTTAGTTATGATAGTGATAATGATAGAGATAGTGCTTGTGTATATCAGCAACAGTCCATACCAGAGGACTATCCCCATTTCAAAGGGAAGAAAGCGAAAAAGTACACCGTGGTGTGAGGTGAAAGGCCCCTTTCGATCAAGTGATCTAAAGTACTGCGCAGACTATTAGCTCAAGTCATTAAACAAGTCTTTATCTTTATCGCTATGTCGTGTTAATTCTTTTAATACCAACAAAGGCGATGTTGCAGTGAGGCTGCCCTATGTTGCATCGTGATGGGCGGTGTTGATGTTGATTTTCATTCTTCAATTACGTATTTTGATGATATTGTATTAATGTATTAACATTAAGAGTGTTTTCTAAGGGTTGTCACCACTGAGGACTAGGATAGAATGCCTGTTCCCAGTAAAAAGTTACGCTAGTATTCTGTGAGAGCGTGGTCCGTCTCCTGTCGAGCCGACCTATTCGTGCTGCAACCAATGGCTGCAGACTCGACCATTTTAAGTAGAGCGGTTGCCAGTGTCAACACTAACATCGGTAGCCTTCCCTTCTTGAATTTGATAGCAGCTGAACATGGACTGCAGGAACCATTTACCCTCAGGTAAATTATGAGATGGTTTCCGTTACTCGTTACTACATATCAAAAGTCTACTGCTGACATATGCCTAACCCATAGATTGCCACATAGATGTTATATTAGAAAATAATAGAATAGAATTGAATAGATAGAATAGAATTGGCAAGTGCAGTTTTTATCTAGATGTGGATACGATTGCAGAGTAGGTTTACAGTTTCACAAACCTTCAATAGTGACTGGCAATGTGAGTGGCAGACATCCTGGCTGCTTGGCTCTACCCGCGTTGGGCCAGAAGTCCGCGTGGCCCACAGCCAGCGGCTCGCCGAAGCCTCCCGCATCCGTGTGCACCACGTCAAAGAACAACGCGTCATCGCGGTTCACAGGACGCACCAGCACGGGAAGATAGAAGCCAGGGTATGCGGGGTCCAGACCCGTCAGTCTGAAGCATTACGAGCTCAAGTGAACCATAATAATAATACGACAATAACATACAATAAATAAGAACAATAATAACAATAATGGAGACCCACCTTTTTATATGGACGACCTCAAATTATTCCCTTCCAATCGTTTCCATTTTTTATATAATAAGAGTGACAAAAGAGCACACAGTTCACCTGATGTTGAATGGATGCTGTGCACCATAGACATCTACACTTATCCTCATTTAAGTGAATCTCCACTTAAAGGAGTGATCACCTTATGTAATACGGGATGTATTTTCTGGAAGAGGTCCATGTTCGGCAGTGGACTTCTGGTGCGACCCTTAATGATGATTCCAGCAACTTAAAAATTACAGTTTTCTGAAGACTTTTGCCGCCACTAGACGTTAATAAGGGATAATAAATTATACGCTAACTAGATGTCGGTAGTGGGGCGTGAAGTGAACTCCTTTGTTACACAATGACATTATTATTGAGAAATTACGTTTCAAATATATATCGGTTCATAAAGAGAGTTAATAAACAAAACTATGCTTTAGTGGTGTCCTCTCAAGTTTTATTTAATTTTTTACTTTTTTTAACCTCTCAAACACCAAGCGGCCAAATTTGACCGCTTCGATATTCCGTCAAAATTCAAGCGGTCAAATATGACCGCACCCACCCACAACACTTTAACCCATAAAAACTTTTCTCGAAAAAGTTTAGCATTATAGAATCAATATGAAATTTTCTATCTTTTAGTGCAATAAAAAGTCATTTATCCTAAAGATCATATTTATTCATAATCATTTCATACCCCATTTTCGCGTGAATGTTATTTCTAGTGTTTTAGTATAGTGTTTTACTATTAAATTGTAATGAAAGTTCTTGTGTGAATATAATTTACCTTTTTACGTAAATAATTTCGAGTAATATATATTGAAATAATTGTGATTTTCACGCTGCCGACATTAGCTTAGTATGTTTTGTTTTTGTTATCAAAATACAATAGTCTTTTTGTTATGAAGTAAAACCTGACTTTTATATAAAGAATTTTGTATTAGATTTTATAATGCCGGACTTTTTCATAGAAAAGTTGTCTCCAAATATAAGTTTTAATGGTTTTAAGTGCTGCGGGTGGGTGCCGTCTCATGCGACCGCTCTGGATTTGCCGGGCGCAGGCGACTGCATGGGAGTTTTAAGGGGGACTGAGGGGTTAATTTTTTATCGACCTGCTTCATACGAGTGATTTCTGGATCTCGACACCAGCGCCAATTGTGAATCTAAATCATCCAAGGACTCAAACACACAAAAAAATCGAGCTATTTCCGAGTTTTAGCGAGGCTATCGGATAGCAATTGAGTTTTATATTTAAAGGTAATATAAAATATAACTACTATTAAAAAAAACATTGACCTTTACATTTTCCGAACAAATTAACTTCCTGATTTATGAATATTTCATCTCTTTCATAAGTGGCCCCGTACTGATGGCAGTAAAAGTCGTGGAAGCCATTACGTAAAATAATTCCTTATAAAGTATTTCTCTTTTAATTATAACTCAACCAACCTTGGAACCATGAATCCTTTATTTTTCAAATATCTGCAGGCGTAGCCTCCAAGATGGACTCCCAGCGAATGTCCAACCACGTGCAGGCCTTCAAGGGACAAGCCACCTCTGATCAATTTCTCCACAGCCTGCCCAGTTCTTTCACCCAGCTATAAAAAATATTACTAAACTGAACTAACAACCAATAGGAAAGTAGGATTCTCGAATGGCAGCCTCAAATCGGTAAGCTAAGTGTAGGGCGGACACACACTAGTTGGAGTGACAACCTGGTAAGAGAAGCAGGAAGTCGAAGGATACAGGTGGCTGAAGATTGTGATTTGTGGCATTCCTTGTGGGAAGGTCTATATTCAGCTGTAGACTAATTATGAGCTGAAATGATAATAATCATAACATAGTACCTATTAACAATTTAAATTCCTTTAAGCTCCCTTTATTGTATTTGTAATTTTTTATTATCAGAAGAATAAAGAAGGCAAAAGTAAATAGGTCTTTTCAAGTTCACTATGTTATACGTTTACCATTTCTAAGAGCTTTTTTATACAAGGAAGTATAATGTTCCCTGAGCTTTTTACCGGTCCTTCTCAGTCTTTTTGAAGCTTTGGTAGAATATAGGGCACATAAGTGCTGTAAGTAAGCATTAACTGAATCAATACGTTTTACTTTGACTGGACTTTGAGTAAGTGGATACTTGGCTAATCAACAACCACGCTATTGTTTCTGTCTTGTTTCCTTTTTAAATAAACAGTACCAGCAGTACTGTTAATACTACCAATCGTCTCTTTAACCACACCAAGTATGGTTTAAATGCTTGTGCTAGAAGGGGTTTAAGACGGTAACCAAATAGTGGATTCGAACCTAAATCAAATCTATAAACAGATGCATCACATGCACACAAAGATAGAATATCTCGTTACTAGTAAAATGTATACGTGTCACATAACATACAAAACACTTCATGGTGCTGTTTTGCATAGGTAATCTATGACGTGAGGTGATGATAATACATATTACGTAATACATAAACACTCACGCCTGTCACCCAGAGGGGAAGGCAGAGACTACAGACTTCCATTTAGCACGATCCTGACATACCTTTCTCGCCTCTTCCACATCCATATACCTACGCATACATGCTCGTCGGTTAGGGGTACTCTTAATTTGGCCCATTTTTAGTATATCGCCAATTTGGTCGACAAACTTCCGCCTAGGACGTCCCTTTCCGACTCTTCCATTCACTTCTGCAACATATATTTGCTTTGTCAGTCTTTCCGCATTCATTCTTTCTACATGACCAAACTACCGAAGCATTCCTTTCTTAATCCTGGTCACCGCATCATCTTGCAAACAACACTCTTCTTTTATCACATAGTTTCTCACCCTGTCACTCAGATTCAGCACTAACATACCCCTTAGCGACCGCATTTCTACTTCATTTATTCTACTCTCGTGCTTCTTCTGCCACACCCAACTTTCACTACCATACTTTAACGTATAGGGACTAATACAGCACTGTGAATTGCCATACGTGCCTTTTTTGACACATTCTGACTTTTCACAATAGAGTGTAGAGCCCCATTTACTTTATTTCCTGCATTCACTCGTCGTTCAATATCCTTATCATATCTCCCATCCCTGCTGAATACACATCCCAAATATACGAACTCATCCACTTGCTCAATTAACTCCCCTTCTATTCTTATTTCACATACCGTTTTGCTTTCATCTCTTTCAAAAACCATCACTTTCGTCTTACTTGCGTTCACTTTCATTCCCCTTTCTTTTAATGACCTGTTCATTAATGTAACCATCATTTGCAACTCGGCCGCCGTCGACGCAAGTATGACTTGATCATAGGCGTACAAAAGGCATTTGATGGTTAACTCACCCATTCTTAACCCGCATTCTTCAACTTTCAAATTTTCCAAACAGCTGTCCATAAATAGGTTGAACAGCCACGGGGAAGCTACACAGCCTTGTCTGACACATTTATGGATGCCAAACCAGTCCAAGTAGACCCCGTTGATTCTAACACAAGCACTCGAGTCCCTATACAGAGACTTTAATGCCTGTATCGAACCAGCGCTCAACCTAAATGCGTTCAGCGTTTGCCATAACACATCCCTGTCCACTCTGTCATAAGCCTTTTCCAAGTCCATGAACGCACAAAAAACTTTTTGGTTTCTCGCCAAAAACTTCTCCGCGATCATGCGCATGGAAAAGACTTGATCTATACACCCCATTCCCTTTCTAAATCCCGCTTGCACATCCCAAATTTCTTCATCAGTTTCTTTCATAACTCTTTCAATTAGTACCTTAGCATACAGTTTTCCCACAATGCTAAGAAGGCTGATACCACGGTAGTTTTTACAGTCCTGCTGTGACCCTTTTCCCTTATATATTGGGACTACCACGGTTTTGCACTAATCTCCCGGTACCAGCTTTAGTTCCCAACATAAATTAAACAAGGTGTACAGCAGGCCTGCCACCACAGCCTCTCCAGCCCTTAGTATTTCGAGTGAAACTCTATCATATCCGGCTGCCTTACCTACTTTCATGCTTTTCATTGCTTTCATTATTTCATCTATACTTATCTCCCTATCTCTTCCATCTTCTTTCGGAATTTCTATTTCATTTAGTTCACACTTCTCCTCACTCATAAATACGCTTTTAAAATATTCCTTCCATCTCTTTAGACTCAACACTTCATCATTCAAGATACAGCAATTCTCGTCTCGTATCGCATTCAATCTAGGCTGTTTTGAAAGTCCCCTGGTATTTCTTACGAGTTTCCAGAACATTTTAATATTTGCCTGGAAGTTATCCGATATTCTTCATTCATCAATCATCATTCTTCTCCGTCTCTTCGAATCTCGATCATTCTTATCCGTTCTTTCTTGCTTTTTCCTTTCAACTAATACTTTTACTCTCTTATTTAAACGTTTGAACTCTGCCTTTTTTCTTTCATGCTCATCATTCTTACCGCCAGAATTACCAGCTTTGGTCGCTAGTAAATCTAGCCATGCTCTCTTCTTTGCTTCAACTTCCATACGTACCTCATCATCCCACCATAACTTATTGTCTTTCCTTTCATTCGTTCTCTTACTAACACCACATACTTCGGTAGCGGCATCCACTAAACCTTTCTTAACATTATGCCACACATTCTCCAAGTCTAACTCATTCACACACAACTCATCCAAATTACTTATATTTTCTCTCAGTCTGCATTTGTACTTGTCTTTCACATCTTCATCTTGTAACCTCTCAATTCTTATACGCTATAAAGCAGTGGTAGACACAGATGTCCTATGCCGCCAACGTCTGAATAAACCCCTAATTCGGCATAAGACCAGGTAGTGGTCCGTCCCTACGTTGGACCCCCGGTAAACCCTTGTATCCACCACTGCTCTCCTCATTCTTTCATCTCCAGTTATGAAATCTATCATGCTTCTATCATCACCTCTTTCCCAAGTATACGTGTGAATCTTCTTATGACGAAAGAAAGTGTTCGTCACAAAAAGATTCCTTTCCACAGATACGGTGAGGAGGCTTTCACCATTCTCATTTATACTTTCATCACCAAACGTTCCCAATATCCTTTCATAACCAATCCTCCTCACCCCAACCCTTCCATTAAAATCTCCTAGCATAATAATATTTTCATTTCCCTTACACTTCATTAATACCATCCTTACCATTTCCAAGAACTGCTCCCGGATATAAGTGGGCTTAGACATGTCTGGGGCGTAGACCCCTAACACAAACAACTTCTTTAAGCCCACTTTCATTCGTATCCATAGCAGTCTTGGGCTTACACATGCATACTCTTTCACACATTGGCCCATTCTTTCTGAAAGGATGATACCTACTCCCTGTCATGCCCGCTCGATCTCGTCTACACCAGACCAGTATGCGGTATACATGCCATGTGCAGTGACATCATTCCCCTTCCTTTTCGTCTCATTTACACATAATACATCTATTCCTCTATCATACATCATATCGCATACTTCATCCATTTTATCATTCATTGTCCCGCATACATTCAACGTAGCCAGACGGGCCTCTGCAATACACTTTTCGCCTCTCTGGGAGACAGAACGTGACGGGTGGCGAACCTCGTCGCCGGTTTTCCTCCCGGAGATTCTTCGCACCCCTGCCCCATTAAAGGGGCGCCGGGAACTCGGGGCCATTTCTTTTACTTTTTGCCTCATGGTGCGAAAACTAGGGTGTGGCATATTTTACTCCGCTACCACACGGCGAGTAGCCGAGACTGTTCTTTCGGCTTTGTCGCTCTTTTAGCACCACCCGGGGGAAACGTGTAGGGTGGGCCTAGGATTAGGTGGTCGAAGCCTACGGACGCGAGCGACTTATCCCCCCGTGAGGTGATGAATTGGTAAGATATGCAGACCACGAAAAAGAGTTCCTCCACTTTTAAGTAGTAGCTGGTAAACAAAATGTCGGGTCTACCGCTAGATGGAGAATAGACCTAGAAAGAGGCAGAAAGTCGATGGGAAGTTTCCAGTAAAAAGGGGCTCCAGTTCTCTACACTTACCATATGAAACACAGTAATCCAACATATGCAGAAACAGAGGAGATAACCGAAACCTCCTTGGATGCAAGAGTGGAGGGTTCTAACGAAGGATTATTAGCGCAGGACATTAGGCTCCTACGGACCGAGCTAAAAACCCTATCGAGAGAAATGGTTAATTTTCGCCAGGAGATTGCGAATTTGAATACCACCGTGACGGAGTTTAATTCAAGATTAGAGACCATCGAAACCCGTGTGACCTACTTAGAGCAACATCATCATTCTCTAAACCATTTCCCATTATCTGGGGTCGGCGCAGTAAATCTTCTTGTTCCATTCCTCTCCATCAGCCGTCATTTCCATACTTACTCCTTTCATTCTCATATCACTCTTCACACAATCGATCCATCTTTTATTCGGCCTTCCTCTGCCCGTGTGTCCCTCCACACTACTTAGAGCAACAAACGAAGGAAAAAAAGTGGCACCTGCGAGTGAGTTGATTGAAACTATTGCACAACTAAAGCGTGATCTAAATTACAAAGATCAAGCTGCTCTATTAAATGACCTGGAGCTCACAGGCCTGCCAGAACAAAAAGGAGAAAACCCGATGCATCTCCT